CTTATTTGGTCAAGGTACTCTCTGGTGATCATCCCTAAAAACTGGAGTCTGTTTGCTGTGAACTTTTTTGTTGGCTGTGCTGGTGGTTCCCAGCTTTTCCGAATATGGAGGTATGCATTAATAAGGGTAAAAGTACAGCTAAGTATTAATCAGGAATTTATAAATGCTGCCAGCCTCTCTGTCAGTGCAACAGGCAAGAGGAACGGAACCATTCATGAAACATTACAGAATGTTTTTGCTACATTGTTAGCTGTAAATATTTTCAGTCTAGCTAGAGCAGCATTGAATCGTGTCAGTTCCAGCTGGATCAAAGGGCTTTTAAGCAGAGCAGCATTTGTCAATAAAATTGTTTCTTGAAGGAAACTCTGGGAGATTTCTGGCTTCAGTACTGGCCACGGATGTGGCAAACTTAGCTACTTTGGAACTTCATACATGAAATATCCTATCCCGAGTTTCCACCCTTAAGTCCATTGTAATTTTAAACCTCCTCTGGTGAACAGATTGCTAGGAAAACAGTGTTATTGAAACTGGTGTTCTATTCTATTCTTAGCCTGTGCCCTTTGTTTTTTATTTCTATAGGTATAATCAGGAGCTAAAAGCACAAAAGCAGGTGCAATAAAGAGATGCTTAACCCAACAGGTCAAATCGAGCAACGCACAAACCCATCCCCATGGGACCTAGCTTCACTAATTTTAATGTTTTTTTCTCTGAGAAAATAAAAGAGGAAAATAAAGAAGATCAAGTGTTTTCTAAGTGCAAATAACCAAGTATATCCACACATTTAAATAAAGGGCAACCTTTTAAAACGAAGGCAGAATTGTTTGTCTTGTATTGTCTCTTTAAAGAAACTGGCTGGAATTTGCCTAAAAAGAGTTGCTGAGCCTCACCTTATCTGACTCCACTGAACAGTGCTGGGAGTGACACAGTACTGGTGACAGCCAGAGCCTCAGACTGAAGTGATCTTTCCTGCCACAGTCAGAAAACCACCTGGGTGGGTGTTTGCCATATTTCAGTAACCAACAGTAGCATTTTCATTTCATTTCCTGATGCTCTTCCTTCCCCAGTAGCATGAGGATATTTGTTCCAGCTTCAGCTATGTGTGTCTTCATTTATTCCCCAGCCACCACTGTCCTGAAAAAAAAGACAGCAAACAAATGTGCCACTGGTGTTTTAGCTTCCTTCACACCTCCAGGCAGAAGATGGGGATGTTGAAACACCAGACTTAGACTGAGGAATTCACATGCAGGGGAAAAGATAACTGAGGCAAGGTAGGTTCTGATGAGTCTCTCAGCTCCCCTTTTGCAAAGGCCATCCCACCATGAAGTCAGTTTTCTGTTCTGCCACAGTTCCACTTGCATGTCTTGGTTCTTGTGGTTTGGTCCTTGGTCCCAGGGTCTCAAGTGGCAAGTTCTCCAGCTGTGTTGGTCACCAAGTGGACACAGTGACTGAAGAAGAATCCTGCTAGGAAGAGAGGTGCTGTATTCCAATCCCCCTCCCTTCCCAGTCCCCAACCAGGTAAGACTCATCCAGCAAACCAGTAATGGGAAAAAAAAAAAGTGTATTAAAATATTCACAAGATTACAATAGAAAACATTGAAGTCCATTCAAGAAAAAATATCCAAGATAACTGTTTCCAGATGAGTCTGTAAAAGCAAAAGCACTAACAGTTGGTACACTGGCTCTTAATGTAATCAGGCCATGCAATGCATATCTAGCTCCCTCACACAGATTATACACCTGTCTTACAGGTGTTTGTTGTCTTGCACACCTCCAGGACAGAGGTTTATAAAAGAAAAGTACCCAGTCTATGTTTTCAATTACATTTACCACATAAGAACAGTTGGCATTGCAGGGAGACAGAAAACATTGCACAGCACACTGATCTACAAAGGCATTGAACTTAGAGTGCAAAAAATACCTGTAAATGAAAGGGCTTATTAGCTTTAGGCAGTGAAGAGAAGGGAAAGAGAAACCTAAAGAAGAGAATAATTGCTGAGCCTTGTTAAGGTGATTTTGTAGTCTCCCATATAAAAATGTTACACTGCAGAGGTGTGGCCATAGCCCAGAAGTTCCACTCACCTTCTTTCTTGGTGGTTTTATTGAGGAAATATATCCATCACCTATGATACAATAAGAACTTTTTGTATTTGAGGTCCTTGCAGATACACTAATAATGTAGAATTTCAAGACAAGATTCCAATACAAAGTGAAGGTGTTCTGATCACAAATCAAAAACTCCATACCTGACCTCAGTGAATCCACTCTAAGGCAATGCAGCTTTTAAGTAGCATGCACACCTTTACTGCAGTTACAAGACTGATGGTTACCTAGACAGTTCTCACAGGCTGAAAAACCTAATTTAAGACAGCTCTTCTAGTCGTAAACCACTAAAGCTTTGAGAAAAAACAAAACCTTACAGGTCTCCAGTTAAAAATGACACATCAGGAAATGAGTTGCAGGGACAAACCTGCCCCCTGTAAAGGCTCTTAATGTTTTGTGAACATGGTAAGCATCTTCCTCACAGAACAACTGCTGAAGTAAAACGGGCCATGGAAACCTGATGGACTGAGTACAGCTACCAATTTACTTAGCTTGATACCTTATTTGTAATTCTCTTGAAATTCATTTATAGTAATCAAAAATAAGATGGAATTCAGATCGATCCCAGTTTTGTTTGCATGATGAATAAGAGAGAATTTATTTCAAGTCTTTCATCATACAGGCCATTCCAGTCCACTGTCCAGGAGCAATGACCCCCCTAACTGTTTTAGTCACTGGCTACTGCTTCAAGAGAGGTACCCGCTCCTCCTCTGGGCTGCTGCAAGCTTGGCATGCAGCACTTGTTTTGAAAACAGAGGATCCTAAAAAGACCTGGCAGCAGTGCTACAACAGGACAAGGACAACACCCTTCATGTTCCTCAAAGTCCAAGTTGTTATTTTTTTTCCTGCAAGGAGCAGCATCAGAGAATTAAGAGAACAGCAGCAGCAGAAGAGCAAACAGAGTTAAACTTCAGGTCACCAGAACATCAGGATATGACCTTGTCTGACTTAAATATCTGCTTGCTCTGCACATCAAGGAAGAGAAGTCCTCTGTGTCCTGAGGCTTTACTAAGTAAACCAACTCAGTATCGGTCCCTTTCATCAGCATAGGTTAACATATAATTAAACCATCTCAGATAACCCAAGGAACAGAAAGTTCACAAGTGTTGTCTCACAATGCCTGAAGTTCTTTTGACTTCAGCATGAATATATTACTTAATAATTATATTGCTCACTTTTCCATGACAAAAAAAAAATCTAAAAATACTCAACAGCCTTGGCACTGGAGTGGGATTCAGACAGATTTCTGCCATTCCTGGGGGAAGACTTCTGTTTCTTTCTAAAAAGATGTGTAGTGTTTTTTAAAAATACTTCCACATTCATTCTGCCTTCATAAAGAGGACCCAAGAAGCTTTGCAGGGAGCCTCCTCAGTTTAGGGCATATGAATATACCTGTAGCTAGACAAAAGCCATGCAAGGAGATGTCTCCTTAAGTCAGTTAAAATCAGCCAGATCAGTGTGTCTCCTAAAGTTAGCACCAGATCAATCCTAAAGTTAGCACCGGATTCGTGTGCTTCCTGAAGTTAGCACCACATCAGAATTGTGCTCAGATTCTCCAGTACATTCCAGCAGGAAAAGAAGCAAACATTAGTAGCAGACTTCAGAGGCAAGGCCAGCCCCATCTTCTCATAGCAGCAAGTTTCTGATCACCTCATTCATCACAATTCTCCCTCTTACTCAAAAATGCTGGGAGAGAAAGACAGTGATGCACAGGGATGAACACAGGCAGATCAAAATCAAGTTTCTCCATCAACCACATCCAAAGCATTAGTGCTTTATTAAGTGTAAAATAAATGTTGGGAAGAAACAGCCTGATAGATGAGGAAAGCAGCAGCAGCAACAGGATTCCTCCTGATCTTAATCATAATTTATACTGGGTTGGAAGGGACCTATCAGGATCATCAAGTCCAGTTCCCGGCCCTAGGCAGGACACCCAGGAGTCACACCACGTGCCTGAGAGCAGTGTCTAAACACTTCTTGAACTGTCAGGCCTAGTGCTGTGACCACTACCCTGGGGAGCTATTCCAGCGTCCAACCACCCTCTGGGTGAAAAACATTTTCCTGATATCCCACCTAAACCTCCTCTGATTCATCTTCAGGCCATTCCCCTGGGTCCTGTCACTGGTCACAGAGTGCAGAGAGCGGTGCCTGCCCCTCTGCTTCCCCTCATGAGGCTGCTGAAGACCACAATGAGGTTTCCTCTCAGTCTTCTCCAGGCTGACCAGAGCAAGTGACCTCAGCCATTTGTCAGAAGGCTTCCCCTCCATCCCTTCACCATCCTTGTGGCCTCCTTTGGACACTCTCCAACAGCTTCATGTCTTTTTTATATTGTGGCACCCAAAGCTGCCCCAGCCCCAAGCAGAGTGGGACAATCCCCTCCCTCGCCCAGCTGGCAGTGCTGAGATTGGTGTCCCCAGGACAGGGATGTCCCTCCTGGCTGCCAGGTGCAGAATTCAGCACTTGAGAAAATCCTATAGAACCACAGAATCACAGACTGGACTGGGTTGGGAGGGACCTTAAAAATCACCCAGTTCCAACCCCCCCTGCCACGGGCAGGGACATCTTCCATCAGACCAGGTTGCTCAGAGCCCCATCCAACCAGACCCTGAACACTTCCAGGGATGGGGCATCCACAGCTTCTTTGGGCAGCATGTGACAGTGCCTCACCATCTTCTAAGTGAAGAATTTCCTGACTGAGGACTGCAGCAACCAAGGCAGTGGATCTTATCAACAGATGGAAGCTTGAGTGGACAAACTACCCCTGAGTGTTTCTGGGGTGAGTAGGTCCTTCTCCATCAGCTTCCAGCACTGGGTCCAAGCACCATAGCCTTTCATGTGGAGTCTTGCTAAAAAAACCCCTGCTTAATCCATGAAGTAGAAGAACATATTTAAAGGTCTCCTGTGAAGAAGAAATTAGTCCGTTTTTCATCTTGTATATGTTATTTCCAAAAAATAAAATGCTAAAATATTTACAGAGCTGTTAGTTAGCCACAGCTTGGTGTCTCAGTTCCCTACAAGACTTGGCAAATACCTGAAAAACTGATGCTTTAAAACTGAAACATGCCCTTTTTTTGAAACCAGCCAAGTCTTGGAAGAAGAATTACACAAATTCAGGTACTGCAGGATTAGCAACTGACATATGGCAGAATAAATTAATCCATGGTTTCCTTCTGAGCCCCAGTTTTAAGAGGCTGGTTCTGGCATCGAGGACAATGTCCTAAGATCTACCCAGTACATGCATACAAAAATAAACCGGTTGATTTCTAATAAAAGCAGCTGTTGTCAGGATACCTGTGAAGTCTGATCCTGATGAAAGACTATAATGTTGGCATACCTAACTTTGTTGGGGACAAAACTCCCACTGTACACAAAATAGTTATTAAAAATTGCACTGTCATAATTAAAGGATTATCTAATGTGGTTGTGAAAGGGCTGCCATGGGCCTGTAACTATTTTTCATGTGCTTGGTGTTAAGAGTCAAATGTGGGCTTGAGTTTGTTTGGAACAGGTTGCCCAGAGATGCTGTAGAGGTCCCACCTGTGGAGATGCTCAAAACTGGGCACAGTGCTGGGCAGCCTCCTCTGGCTAACACTGCTGGAGGAAGACTGGATGATCCCCAGAGTTGGTTCCTCCAACCTCAACCATTCTGGGACTGATTCTGTGAAACAGACTGAACTAGTAAATGGGTAAGAATCAGAGAAAAGGGGTTACCATAGACCAAACTGAAAACTATTTGCTGCCAAAAAATAACAATCCAAAACAAAACAGAAATCTGTCTTCTATATGCCACCTTGAGAAAATCTCTGCTGGAAGGCCACTTCTAGTTTTGAGCACCAGATTTCAGGATACAATAGGTCAGCAAAAGAAATCCTCATCAGCAGAGATCCTTAACAATCTAGGAGGAGTTTAACCTAGAAACAAGAGGCTGGAGAATTGTATTCAAGCACTAGACTTGCAGAGATGAAGGCAATAAACTGCCCAGCTGCATTCTCTGTGCAAATAATGGTCACACATTAAAAAAAAAAAACAAAAACAAAAACACACATCAAAAAACACAAAGTGCCCTAGATTTCCTCCAGAAGTTGTTCAGCCTCCACTACAGGCTTTTGAGAACAGATAAAGCACCTCCAAGGAGGTGACAGTGGCATATTGGAGACATGGGAGAGAGGTATGGGGGTACTACAGCTTCCAGATCCCTTGCAGCCCTTTTTAACGCTTGCATGAAATGACAGAGCTTTGAGGAAGAAATATTTCACTGAAAGGTTCAACAGAGTCTGAAGTAACCACCTACAGCTACAGCTTCCTATGCCTTTAACTCACTATCTCCTTCGTTTTCACAGGTAAACTACCATTTCACAGAATTCATTAGATCAACACTATCCCTGCCTCTTAAAGGACTAAGCTTTAATAGCTGGGCTCATCGAGAAGTAAACAGTTTTGTGACCCACGTTACACAGGTCAGGTAGGCCTAAAGGTTTCCTTCACTCACACTGCTAAGACATACATTTCTGATAGCTAGGAGTTAGAATTTGGCTTACAAGACCAAGTGAGATGGTCTAGTTTACTTGAGAAGGCAGCCTCTACTGAGAATGTGACCAAGGAAAGATAAATACCCTGTATACATAAAGAATTCTGAATATAAAGAAAACATCTTCTTTATAGTCACCTCAACAAAAGAAATTGGGCCCTATAAGCAAAGAAAAAAGAATCTCCAGGTCAGTCTAGAATCTTCAGGCATCTTCCAGTTTCTCCATTAATAATCAAGATAAAAATATTTTAAAATTGTGATGCGAGTTTTCACTTTCTCTCTCGTCACACAAGATACAAAAAAAAAAGAATATTGGCAATTTATAAGCAAAATTCTTACCGCATTTCAACATGCAACATTGGTCTCACTTCTGTACGATTAAATAGACTATTTACACACAATACATATATATTTCTCCCTCTGTATGCACATGCATTGGTCCTAGCCTAGGCATCAAAGGCCACATGTGAGTTCTCTGGGTGAAATCTTGCTCAAGCAATTCCAGTCTGAATGTGTGTTGTCCTTTGGATAGCTGAGGATCTCAGTTCTTCCGAATGTCGGCGTAGACCACAGACTCTGACTTGTTGATCTTGTCGCTGTGCTGTCCCCCGGAGTGATCTAACTGCGCGTAAATGACTGGGCCCTGGGGACACAAGGAACAGGCACAGTCAAGCTTTTTCAGAACTGCCCAGCCTGCCCCTCACTTCCATGGGGCTGCAGCAAGATGAAAGCTAAAGCAAGACCACAGAGCTTTTATGACTGTGAACGGCACTTGGAAGCAGGTGGAATGAACCCTCAGCTGGCACGTGAGCTCTAGTCTGCCACCTTTCTCCTCTCAGGAGCATGCCAAACAGCACCCTTGCCTCCCTCCAAAACTGCCTGCTGTCACACAAAGCAAAATCTAGGATCCCTTGCTCTGAAAAGCAGCAATTCTTGTGTGCTATGTAGCAAAGACACGTGGCGTAGTCAGGTGCATGCCAGATTTAATATTGTTCAGGAGGAAAACCCTACTAGAGGTTTACCAGTCAACAGCAGAGCGTACTTCCCAAACTGCTACTCAGGTCCTGTAAACCCCAGCATGGCTGTGCCAGTTGGATAACGAAGCTGCAGCCACCCTGTGACTCAAATCACTGCCCAAGCCAGAGATGGGGCCAAGACTTACACAGCAGTGAGCCAAGAAGTGCTAAAATGGTGCAGCAATACAGAATTCTTACCTGACCTTGAAGCCAGCCCAGGCAGCAGCAGCTCACAGACACCTTAGGCAGGCACAACCTCACACTTTTGTGACATTTGCTGGGGTGCAGGGGGAGACATTACAGCCCTGTCTTTCAGCTGAACATGTGAACACTTCCTAAAACACCACATCCTCTAAAACATAGCCCAGGGAAAGCCAACTGCAGCTACTGAGGACAGGACTGCAGCCTCCACGGAGCAGAGGTCCAGCAAGGCAGGTGGCAAGAGAGCTGCAGCTCCCATGCTGAACCTCCCAAGTGAGACAAGCACAGGGCTGCCACCTCCTCCCAGTGGGCTGTCACCACACACCCATGCAGGAGGCAAAGGAACTGTGCTATCTCAGGATGACTGGCGGGGGAATAAAAAATAGAGAGCTTTTCATTTGTTTGTGGCCTTTGCAGCAGTTTTTCCTTCAAAACTTTTCATCTATTTAATAGTTCTGGTGTCCCTTACATCCCAGGAAGAAGTAGCCTTCACTGGCACTTCTCTACCCCCTTCTTGCCAGTACTTTTGGAATCCTGACAAATTAGGAAACATTTGTATAGACCTGACACAGAAATTTTCCCATCTATTTTCCAAAGCAATTATGAGCCAGAGATGAAAACAGACCTTCTATACAGAAAATTAAGCCCATGAAGGACAACAGAGACCTTCCTGCACAGATATTTTCCCCCTAGCACAGTGGCACAGCTCATACCTGATAAATACCTTGTTCTCTTTGAGAAGTGATTTGAATCCACATTTTATTCCTTCTGGGTAAAGTATTTCCAAAGTTATAAAGAATAGAGGAAGAATATGGACTGAAGGGTGAAAACTTGCAAGTTAGTATAAAACCCTGAATATAAACAACACACTAAGAAAATGGGGAAAAAAAGGACCCTGCTGTCCTAGAAAACTCTGGATTTCAAATCTCATTATAGCCACTTCTTAAAAAAAAATCTCTGCTATTTGCTTTCATGTTGTTCTGGTCTCCAATACTGTATTGAGATTTCTAATTCCAATCAGATCACAGTGTCTATATAAACTTCAAGGCGAAGTAACCCTGAAGTTTAATTGCAAGCAAATTTGGAAATCTCATCTGCCTGAGGTCAAAGGTCAGGGTATGATAAATTCAGCTTGAGAGCACTATCAGTTAAAAAAATATATTAAAATAATAAATCTAACTGCAGAAAGTACTCACTGTGACATTCCAAGTTTTGTTCAAGTAATTCTGATGGTTCAGTTGTCTAGCAGAGGAGTTCATTCAGTATCAGTTACCACTGTAATGGATTTTTGCAGTTTAAATATAGTCACTGTGCTGCAAGCAGCATGTTAGATGTGTGGGGACACTGACTGCTGTGATCAGCTGATCCAAACCCAGCTATCACTGTCTTAATGTGTTCACTGTCAGTCACCTAAAAAAGTGGTAGATAGCCAACACAGAGAAAAAGAGGGACCAAGGATTTATTGCAGTGTTCATCTATTTGATTTGCTGCCAACTGATTCTCTAGCTGACTATAAGCATTCCATTTTAAAAACTGTCTAAACAATTCAGAACTTTCATCTAATCCCAAGTAAGCTCATCCTGACTCTTCAGAACCAGAAGATAGACCAGCACTGCTATACAAAATCAGCATTTCCTGAAGCCTTGCAATTTTTCCATTCAGAATTGAAGGGAAAAGATCAGTAAGTGTACCTGCTAAGGGTTTGTCAGCAGAGTCACGAATTGCAAGTTACAAAAAAGAAAAAGGAATTACAAAGTTAGACCACCATGGTCCAACAGTAGTCTGCAGAATTTTCAAATTTCTCAGATTCTGAATGATGTTGCAACTACCACAGATTCAGGCTCTGGGAAAGTTATCTGAAATTTCAATCAAGATTCTTGGCATTGCAAACTGCTCCTTCTCAGGGTCCTGGGATCTAAACAAAAACATCCATGTGGGAAATCCAAGTAGTTCTTGCCTGCACTGTAAATTGTTTCTTACCCACACAAAGAAGTCATGGTAGAACAGGAGTCACTAGAGAATGATGGCATGGGCAAGAACCACCACAGACAAATCTGACAGGACAGAACATACCTGCTGAGAAGGAGGGCACAGTGAAAACAAGCAGAGCTGATTCAAGCAGCTGAACACTCACAGAATCAGGTATGCAAACTCCAAAAAGCAAGGTCCACACCTGAGTAACTTGCACTCAAAACAAAGGAAGTGCAGTTTCAGTGCACTTTCAGCTGTGATGCAAACAAATACTCCATTACTGATTCTTGAATTGATACATAAATTTAAAAATGAATAAACGTCATTTAATTCATTTAAATGCCACTTTAAAAGTGAACACCTCTGTTACTGTTTCTAACTCGCAGAGGCAGTTTTGTTTGTATTCACAGTTCTTTTCCACCAGTGAGTACAAAGCATTCATTCACTTCCTACACACCCTACCTTGAAAAAAAGCTACAAGGTAGACCACAGGCCTCTGCTGTTTGACCACAGCATTGACTGTGGGAGCCACTGGTCTAAAACTGCCAGGCATTCCAAGAGACAAGAGTGTGTGCCTGAATCAGCAAACAGCCTGCAACAGCTCTGGGAACTGCTAGGAATGAGTATCTGTCTTTCACCTGCACAACACCTCAAAAGCTTGAATACAACTCATTTCTTGATTACCAAGTAACGCCAGATTTTACTTGTATGTGATGAAAGATTTCAAATATGTTGATTTGTATGCTGATATGACCCTTAAAGAAACAACCAAACAATGGCTAGAAGCTGGCAATGTATGTGTAATCAACTGAAATTTAGCTTCCTCACTTGTTTAAACGTTCTGTTCAAAATCTGATCTACCCTGGTTTCGCTCTGGATCTTTGTAAAGAACAGTTAAGTATGTTTAGTTGTTCTGCAAAGATGGGGCAAATGCTCAACAGGAGATAGAGGAACTACTTGCTGCTACAAATGTCTGCCACAAAAACAAACTCTGTCTGACAAAAGAGATTAAAAATCTAAAAACTAAACTAAAACTGAACAACACAAAAGCCATTTGCAATATTTTTCAGTTGAAGTCAGGAGAGTTCATGCTTGGTGTTTTCCTTTAGGAACTTACCTGCAGGGAGGGCTCTGTCAATGAAGAAACAGACTGGAGTGACTACAGAAAGGCAAAAGCACCCTGATTCTGAGTTAGTATCATAAAGTTTTGATTTACTCTGCTGCTCCTTCCAGCACACTGAGACTCAGAACCCTGGGGACATCAAAAGGTGAAGACACCACAAGTTTTCACAACAAAACATTGGAGTATTTTTGCTTTCAAGATGTAAGCACAGAATAGCATCTGTGTGTAGCTCTCAGGGCACTTGCAAGTACTCCTTAATGCCATGACAATAATCAGATAAAACTTTTTGGGTTTTTTACCTATGGATGTTGACTCCAACAACTACCGTATCAGAAATCTCACCATGCTGGTTTTGCAACAAAATCTTTTTGTTGTTGTTGTTGTTGTTGTATTTTTGGGGTGGTTTTTTTTGTTTTGTTTTGTTTGTTTGGGGTTTTTTGCTTTGCTTTGTTTTGGGTTTTTTTTTTTTGTTTGTTTTTTTCGTTTTCTTTTTTGAAGGGAGGATGGTAGGAATCACCTGTCTCATTCACCCATTCCAGAAGCATCTCCTATGATCTAGAAAAGACAAGTTTTATCCAGGCCTTACAGGCAGCCTGCTCCTACAAGACCTATTCCAGTCAAAATCTGACTATTTTAAAATCATGATCATATAGCCTCTGTGAATAACTGATCTCTGAAGGCAGAAGGCAGCTTTGTGGGCTTGTGTGCTAAAACTTTGGAAATACTGCATGGCCCAGAATACAATACATTTCAAAACTAAACCAGACGCCCAGGAGAGTAGGAGCTTTGACTTTACTGAGGTGACATTTGGTTTTTTTCCTGTATTGTTAATTCATTAACACACATCTCCATTATTTTATCAGAAGAAGTTAAGAAAACAGGTACTGACTTGCACACACTACACGGCAGCCACTTGCTAAAAGGTGGGTATTTAAGAAAAAGTCCATTTTGAATTTAAACTCTCTCAGGACCTGTATCTTCACAGGAAAATTGCTAGGAATACTCAAATCCAGAGGAATGAAACAGCTTCCAAATAAGGAAATTCTGTACTACTAACAGGTAACGATCCGTTGCATAGAATCCCTGTCTGACTCCTGCTCTGTCCCCTCCCATGGGATGCTAAGTCTGGATAAAGTCAGCAGAACTTACCAGCTGTAGCAAGCACAAAGACTGGCGCTTTCAAGCCCACAAAAAGTTGGGAGATTCAGCAGAAGAGAGCTCTTAGCAGCACAAATCATCTGCAAACTGGTCAGCACCTGGTTCCTCCCATTGTGAAGGAAGTACCATGGGGCATGAGAGTGCAAGGCAAATTCTTCCCCATTACCATCCCAGAACAGACCAGGCAGCTTTATGGGGTGACCCATATCTGACAGACACTGTATTGTGTCTGTGTTAAACAGATACTCACTGGCCACTCCCCATCCTTGCACTTCACTACACCTCTGTATGTTAATACACAAGATCACAACCATGTTTTTTTAAAATTTAGTATGAAAAGGGTGTATAACTCCATTTCAGCTAATATATGAAGATGCTGCTCTTTGAATTGCACCAAGCCTTCTACAGCAGAGCTCACCGGTCCCAGCTTCCTGATCACCCCTTGTGCAGCGCACGCACTCTCACCAGCAGACAGCCCCTAATGCACAAATCCCACCCTGCCTGGATGCTGTCCACAGCAGCTGCCCCAGGCTGGGGGGAATCCTTCCTCAGGGAGCAGCAGGAGCAGTTTACCTGGTGTGATCTGGCGGGCACGCTGTTTACCAGGCCCTCTGTGTCGGAGGGCGCCTTCTGCGGAGCTTGCTTAACCGGAGACATCAAGCTCTCAGAGGTACTGCAGCTGACGAGGTGGCAGAGCAGAGTTTGCACGACAATGTTCAAGAGGCACACGAAAAACAAAACAAAACGGAACAAAACAAAAAGAAAAAAAGACAAAAGAAACAAAAATAAAAGACGAATGATGGCAAGATGAAATGTGGTGGGTTATGCCAAAGTAAAAAAATGAACATAATGGACTCTGATATAAGCACACACAATTCTCCATCTCTCCCGAGACATTTCTCTGTCATTCCTCTGAGTTTGACTGGTAAGCAACAGGAAGGAGCAGCTATTAACATAGGACAGCAGCTCCTCCACAACCCCTGGTGCTTAGATACTCCCATTCAACTCAGCCTCTCTAAAAGAATGTGTTTCCTTCTCAGTTAACAGTGGTAAATAGCACTTATCTTCTAACTAAATGCTAAACAATGCTGGTCACTGAGGTAAATGTTGTACCACTGCTACAGTTAGAGCCAACACTTGCAAGAGCCACCAGCTCTCTAAACCAGCAAGGTACTTCCTACCCAACTCTGCATTAGTTCCCTTGCTTTTATAGTTAGGCTGTGAGCCCAAAATAATTCTCACAGCAGACACCAGTCTGTGGAACAATTACCTCAAGAGTCACACAGGACATTTATGCTAAGTGCCCTTATATAGCTACTTGAATACCTTATCAGGCAAATCTTGATTTTCAAACAAAAGAACAGTCTTGTGGTGAGAACCAACACTCCTAAAAGAAAGCTCCTGGTTTTCACCTTCTAATTGCTTACTTTCATCTGCTTAAAGCAGGACTAAAAAGAAAACAAGCCTGTGGCAGAAAAATTAGTACCACAGAGCAAATGCCCTTAAAGTTGGTGACTTTTGGGCAATGCAGTAAGCACCCAGGAGAGTTAAGCAGCCATCTCCTTGGCAGCAGTCACAGGTGTGCCCTCTGCTACAACCCTCTAACCACTAGGCATTCTTTCCCTCAGTCTTTGTAGACAGTGTATAAATTAAGTACAGAAACAAAAGAGGACAGTGATGTTAAGCAGATCACCTCCTTGCAGGGCAAGCATTTTTCACCCTTTGGTAGGTCTTACCACAGCAGATTTAGCTCCTCATACATGCAGCAGTTAGAATTAGAACAAAAATACTACTCCAGCCATCATGGCAAGGGGTTGTGACTGTCTCAAAAACAATGCATCCCTTCTGTTACCAAAATTATGTAATCATTATTTGTTTTATTCACAAAACTCCTCAGATCTACACTACCTAAATGTAATCATTAAGCAACTAATGTATTTAGATCCCTGCAAGTTTTCCAACACCCAAGCTATCTGAGCCAGAGGAACGATTACAGGGAATTTACTTTTATTTTGACACAGAAAGAGCTCTGAATTTCCTGTGGTTTAGTCAATGCACTGGCAAGTTCACTATTGGAAGAGATGGAGGGACATCATCTGGGATAAACAACAACTCCACCCCAGTCAGACACGAGACAATGAAACCCAAGCACCCAGTGAAATGCATCATCCCTTTGCCAACAGATTCCAGCACAAATTACAGTGATATTAGTAGAGAGCTAGCTGGTTAGTCAGCAAAGGAAGAGGAAATGTGTACACACACACAGGTATTAACAGCAACCACCAACTTGATTAGTTACCATGGTGTCTAGTGGGACTGGAAGAGAAGACCCAGCCCTGTTACATTCCCAATCTGGCGTCTATATCAGGATCTCTGTAAGGAGAGGAAGGTAAGCAGGATCCAATCCCAGCACACCAAGGCAGAAAGAAAAACAAAACAAAACAAAACAAAAAAACACCAAAGTCAGAGCATGAATGGAAACTGTCGCCATGCAGGGGTTCCAGATGCTACACAGGGCCCCAGCCCACCTCAGTTCAAGGCAGAATGGTTATCTAGGAGTAAGTGCTTCTCTCCACCACCACACACTGGGTTAGCATCATGTAGAAGACAGTCCATAAGTTTGGAGGGGGTCACAGCGCACGTGGTTTCTTTCTACACATCATGCAGAGCTGGCATGGTCAGTGAAAGCAGGATTTATACCTCAGAGATTACTTTCCCAAGAGAGTAGTTAAATCTGCTACAAGAAATCACAGCACATGAACTACTGCTCCAGGCTCAGCACCAACATGTGTCCTCCAGCAGGAAGACACTGGAGAGCAGGTCAGTGGGCAGCAGGGCAAGCTGGCCACCTCAGGCACACTGCTGGTGCATGACACTGCAGGGTTCTTTTCAGTTCTTAGGGGAAGGACACATGCAGAAAGGGAAAACCAGGCTTTCCACACAATTCTGAGCACACACAGCCACCCTTGCTGTATTTAGCCTTACCATTGGGCAATAGCCAACTTTGTCTAAGCTCTCCAGCTGGGAAAAGGACAGGGCAAAGTTTAATTTGGAAATCCCCACAAGCTTATTTTTGGAGTTATTTTCTTTTATCCCACAGGCAACCCAAATAACCTGCAATAAGCAGGAATGTTTGTTGGGCAAAAAACAGAAGAAAATTGTATGTTTTGAGGTTGTTTCTAAGACTACATACCTAATTTTCATTTTTTCTTAGAGAAGCAAATTACCAGCTAATTAGAGAGGAGAAAAAAGGAAGCATCTCCTCCACCAGCAGCAAGTTTCATCACCCCAGGACTCTCTGGCTTTGTCAGTTCTTGTTGCTTTTTCATATGCCCACTCAAAGAACTGTGCTTCATTTTGGAGTTATCCTCCTAACACTAAAAACCCTGCAGGGATGGTAACAGTTAACAAAAAACAGACAGTGAATGCAGAGTGGCTACTCTTTCCTTACTTTCAAGTGTGGTGATGAAGGGGTTTTTGGCAAATATTTTGGTCCAGGCTTAGGAGGTAGAGACACTGGTAACAGAAAAATCCAGTCCTGATCTCAACACACAGCATTCCTTAAAAGTGCACATGTGGTGCTTTTCCTTTGGAGGTGGTAAAGAAAGGAGAGCTGGAGGGAAGGGGAACAGACCAGAGCTAGGGGGTCTTGGATTAAATGCTCTGATGGCATATATCCTTGTGTCTGGGGCTCATCTTCAACACCTAGTGATTTTAGGGTGCAACTCATGGTCAGTAGGTCTCTTCAAGCACAATACAGAGGTAACCACTAAAGGCAGATGATCACAGTTCCACATGACCATACCTTATCTCTAGCTGTGATTGCCAACGCTTGGCTGAAACAACTCCTACCCCCCTTTAAGCCCTCCCTCTGATCCTGCTGCTGTTCCTCACATCAGCCACGGGTGAGGAGGGAGATCTCTTACCCAGAGTATCGTTTTTTAGAGTTGTTCTTTCTGATGACAAGACACACGACAATAGAGATGAGCGATGAGAGACCTGTAACCGTACCGATGGCTATCCCCGCCACGGTGGCAATGGGGAACGCAGGCAGGCTGTCTGCGGAGAGAAGGGAGAAAACATTCAACTCTTCTGCATTCCCTCCTCAACTGAAGTGCAAACCACAAATGCCCTTGAGCCTGGATTCGTTTAGAGCAGGAGGCACTAGGGTAATACTCAGAAATTACAGCATGCAGCCTAAGTGGCAGTGGCAGCAGGCAGCCAGCAGAGTAACATGAACAGAGCACACACCAGGAGTGTTCTTAGTGTCACCGTCCTTCAGGAGAGAGCTCATGTTGAACCAAAAATTTTTACATGTCAGGGAACACAAGTGACAATGAGGACAACCCTGTCTCATATTGTATCTGAAGGGGGAAAAAACCGAGTTACAGCCATCTGGCAATTCCCAGCGAGGTCAACAGGAAAAGGCAGGCACGCTTGAAAGCAGATTTGGACACAGCACATTGCTAACCCACTAGGAGTGCTGAATGCTGGGTGTTCTCCAGGGAGCATGCAGCACACAGCAGAGTTCCTACCCAGGATCACTCTTAGCAGTGTTTATACATTACTCTGGTGTCTCAAAACACAGCCCTGTACATTTTTATAGGCTCATTTTTTTCCCTTCTTAGGTCAGGATCATTGTACAATACCAGGAAAACATGTAGAAGAACACAGTATTGCTTTACTCACGTTTTCCCTAATATTATTTTGGGGGAGAGTAGGCCAAAAAAGAGCAGCCAGAAACAAAAGCCAATCAGAGAATGAGTACAAAATACCTACAAGTCAAAGAATACACAGACTACCATTACAAATGAGAAACAAAGTCCTTTCCTTCCCCCCACATCATGGTTAACACAAGGAACATCTCAGGCCAGAGGGTTTCTTACAAGACTCCATGCTACTCCAGCTACTTATACCAAATACAAGTGAATCCCAAATACAGGTGAATCAGCAAAAGATCCAACAGGTAAAATCTACACCTATATATAAAAATCTGTCTCAGACACCTGCATCTGATTATCACAGAATTGTTGACGTTGGAAGGGATGTCTTGAAATTGTCTAGTCCAAACCCCCACCTTAAATTAAGCAGGGTCAAGTAGCAGAGTTTGCTCAATACTCTGTCCACTTTGGATTTGTCTCCAAGGATGGGAGACTCTTCAGGCAGCCTAGCTGTCATGGTTTGACAGTGGCCCAATGCCAGGCACCCACAAGAGTCACAAACTCACCCTCCCCTGCTGGGGGAAAGGAGGGAAAAGTTAAAAACAGTTAACAAAGGCTTCATGAGTGAGATAAGGACCAGGAGAAGTATTTCAAGAGCACAACCAGTTCAACTGTAGCTGCAAAGTGAAATGTATTACTAACAGAATCAGAGAAGGATAATGAGAAGTAAAAGAAGCCCTTAACACACCTCCTCCCCAGCCCCTCCCTCCTTCCCACCAACAGCGTAGGGAGACAGGGTGGGGAGGGTTTGGTCAGTCCATCACCAAGATCTTCTTCCGCTGCTCTGGGAGAGGAGTCCTTCCCCCATGAGGCTCTGGGGTCCCTCCCATGGGAGACATTTCTCCATGAACTTCTCCAGAGTGGGTCCACTCTCACGAGCAGCAGCCAAACTGCACCTGCTACAATGTGAATTTCCCCTACGGGCAGACAGTCCTCCCAAAACTGCTGTGACATGGATCTCTCTTTCCATGGGGTGCAGTCTTTCAAGGACAGGCTGCTCCAGCCTGGAGGCAGGGCCCCCTCTCTCCACCGGGTCTTCCATTGGATCACAGCTCCCTCCAGGCATCCACGCTCTCTGGCATGGGCACCTCCCACAGGGGCTGTGGGTGGATAGACCTTTGCATCCCCCATTGATCTCCATGGGCTGCAGGGGCACAGCTGCTTCACCAGGGCCTGCACAGAAATCTCAGCCCCAGCATCTGGAGCACATCCTTCCCCTCCTTCTCCACTGACCTGGGTGGCTCCATGTTGTTTTCCCTCACATATTCTCACCTCCTCCTCTTCTCTGTCTCTGACTAGAAGCAAAAACCCTGTGACCTTATTTTGATTTTCTTCTTAAATATGTCATCACAGAGGCATTACCAGCCTCTCTCATTGGCCCAGTTTTGGCCAGCAGCATGTCCATCTTCAGAGTCATCAGCCATTGGCTCTGCCAAACATGGTGGGAAGCTTCCAGCAGCTTCTCACAGGAGATACCTTTGTGGTCTCCTGCTAGATAAAAGCAGGCTGTCCCAACCCAACACATTAGTCCAGCGTTCAACCACAGTAAAAATGTGGGGGTTTAAGTGCAGACAGAATTGCCTAGGTTTGAACTTATGCCGATTGTCTCTTGTCCTGTCACTAGGCACCACTGAAGAGCGTGGCTCAGTCTTCTTTAGGTGCTAGCAATGTACATGAATACCTGGTAAGAGGATTCTCCAGAGTCTTTCTTCTCTTTTGCAGGCTAGATCATACCACCTTCTCTTCTGCAGACCAGACAATCCCAGCTGCCACCATTTCTCCTCATATGAGAGTTGGAATACTCCCTTGACCATCTTTGTTGCCCTTTGCTAGACTCGTTCCAGCAGGGACAACAGACCAGCAGCACCCTGAAGGCAGGGCATCATACGAAGAAAACAGGGCTTACATTTAGTCCTGCTCCTTTGGAATTCACTGACTTTCAGCAGAAGGGCTACCTGACGTCTGGCTGTTTCACTGACCATAACATCATTCAGCCAACCATCACAGCAGCAGCTTTCCTGGCTCTCCAGTGTGATATGCCAGATCATAGTGTTGCATTTAAGACTAATAAGAGTTTAGTAGAAGTAGTTCTGCTAAGGTTTAGAATTTCTTAGTAGGCCATAAGCTGTGTGTTGTTAGAAACAGTTGTTAGGCAAGGGCAGTGCGGAATGCTGAGGAAGTAGGAACTTATCTCAAAATACATTCCAAGAATGGGCAGTAATAGACAAGATGGATAGGTAGATCTTGGGGATCGTGGGGATACATTGTTTTTATCTAATGGAGTGGAAAGAATTTATGATCATAGAGAATGTTCAATTTAAACAAGAATTAATTTGATTGTTAGAGTGTAACATAGACAAATATGTGCTGAATTGAGCAACCGTTGATATAGACCCTATATAAACGCAATGATTTTGTTAGTTTGGGGGGCTCTGACTTTGGACATTAGTCCTCAGGCTCCCAGGGCCCTCAATAAAGCACCGCATAAAACGACTTTGGTTGTTTTGTGTTTTCTTTATGGGCAACAACAGCAACATGGCAATTCAGAGTTTTAGAAAGAAATTAAAAATGAAGATATAAGCACCACAATGTAGAGGAAGATATTCTTTCAAGGACCTTTCAGCAGCCCAGGGATCCATCTGCTATTAAGGAGGAGAGTCCTACAAACAGTAATATTCAGATATGTAAGATATGATTGCTCTTGAGGCCCATGCAAAAATGAAGTAATTTATTTTGAGGCATATAAGAGTTCCCTAGTTTCTGTGCTTTTTCACCTTTCAAGAAGTGCAGGAATAACTGTCTGCAAAAACATCAAAATAGATATGCATTTCTGCATTAGCAGACCTGTTGCTGCCTTGTGTACCAGAAAATACATTTTATCAGAGCAAGGAAGCAAGTGACAATCCAAAACCATAGTGCAGAGTATCTACTGAAAAAATGTTAGAACTGATCATTTTGTCACTTCTTTGACTCATTAGGGTCTTTTTTGGTTGGTTGAATCTGAGTGATAGACAGCAGTTAGATCCTGTTAGCAAACCTTTTTGAAGACTGTATTAAAAAAATGCTAGTGTTTGCTTGTGAAACTAAGAGCCTGGCTTTATTGCTTTTCAAAAATCGTTGCTATATTTTCCATTTCACAGTTACACAAATTCCTCCTAAGTACTTCCAGAGCAGCCAATGACTTCATTAGGAAAGACAGTCACAGTTAAAGCACCCAACAACAGCTCTGAAAGCCAGTACTTAACAGCTCAACACAAACCAAAAAACAGCCATTCAGAGAACACTTTTCACCGAGTATTACTGAAGTTAAGAGCAATTTCCATTTCACTGAGAGCATGTGAGTATCAGTTTTATAAAAGAGGCAGGAAAATGAAGTTTTCATTGCTCCTAAGTGTAAAGATTTTCATACCATTCTAATTTTTCCCCCATGTGTGTTCAGATCCAAGATTGACCACCTCCAGGTAACACAGGCTCTTGAACACAGTTGCTTTTCCTGTTACAAGTAGGGTCAGCCTAATGTAAGAACTTGGAATTTCCTATTAATTTCTGTTGTTCAGGCTTTAAATGGTAGTCCTTTTCTAGATTCAGATAGGCTATTGAAGAAACAGCTTTTCATCCCTGCCAGTAGAATTGTTCCAACACACTTGATAGAGCAGTTTGTACAAACACCATGTAGGTACTGCAGTGAAAATCAGCTCAGTTAGTTTGGCAATTTTTAAAAATTAGGCCACCAGGGAATTTATTAAATGTTTAATCCAAAACCTTAAGGTAACCCATCATCTATCACATGATTTAAATGTGCAAAGAATGAATGTGGCTTAGAACAGTTTATACCACCAAACATACAATTCAGAACCATTAGATGCATACATAGTAAAAAACCAATATGCACAAGTGTCATCATGCATTTATTCCAATTGAAAAAATTGCTCCAGCTCAGCTCAGGATGAGTTACAACCTATTACAAGAGCTTGAAAACCCATTTTCAGAGTCATTCTAAGAATGTAAAGAGAACTCCTGCAGCATTTTTACTGATGGTGAGAAGTGTTTCAAATACAGGGCTCCATTCAGAATCAGATTCTCTTCCAGATGCCCCACCTATGGCGAAGACAGCATGCAAGTCTGTTGAAAAATTAACAGCTGAATTAGGTCTACTGAGGTCAGTCTTTAGTTGTTTAACCTGGGTTAAAATCTGAAAAGGCTTTTCCAAGACAGCCTGACTTTGCCAAACCAGCAGCTGCTTTACTGCTTCTTCATAGTTACTATCATTGTGAAAAAATAAAGAGACCATATTTTATACAGGCTTCAAACTTCCTAGAAACAAAGTTCTAAGTGATGGTTGGACCTCCAGAGGTCCTGCTCAACCCAAACTGTACCATGAAGAGAAAAATTAGATGGAGAACTTTCCAACATAAGAACACAGAATGACCTCCTGAGCAGGGGTATATACCTGCTCTGGCAGCAGAATCATTCCACAGACTGGTATCTTCCCTAACATATTAAAACTAATGGAATAGCTGCATCAGCACTGCCATTTATGAATTCAACATTTATTCTTGTCCTTCCTGAACTATAAATTTGGAAATGCAATTACTGTAACAATCATTTCTTGTAGAAAAACATCACATTGTGGCTGACCTCCAGCTGAGGTGGAACAACCAAATGTTTTGGATGATAAAGGCAAATACAGAGCCAAACTGATTCTGCTACTTAGTGCTCTGCTACTTTTTTCTCTTTATTCACCAGATTTCGTAAGTCACTCTAACCCTTGATGCAGCATAATGCAGGAAATATATTCAAAGGACTTCAAAATGAGAAGATGTGTTTTCAAGCCTTCCATCAGCTTTTTCCTAATAATTGTTTAAACCACAATTAATTAGTGGGCATAGAGGAATTCGGAATTAGTGGAACTAGTGGGCATAGAGGAAGAGTGTATGACATACAGTTTTTAAACAGCTGACAAGATATTGGTTCTATTATTAGGACCTGGAAGAAGAGAATTAAAAAAACAATTGTTCCCTTCAGGCCACTCCCCCACCCCCAATAAAAGTGATTTAGACAAGGAAAGGAGAGGGAAAAAAAAAAAAAAAAAAACACGTGAGAAGGAAAAAAAAAAAAATCATAGGGTGAATGAATACCTTTCTCCACAACTCTAACTCGGATTTCTCCTGGTTTGACAACAATGTCAGGTGGGTTCTTGACATCGCAAATGTACGTGCCGTTGTCCCGGAACTGCATGTTTGATATAGTGATAGAAGCATCTTTCTTGTTAAGATCTCCAGCCCAAGTGATCCTGTCTTTAAATGGTATGTCCTTTCCAGGGTATGACTTGCCATTAGAGTAATAGAAAAACTGCAGCCAAGGAAAAGAGGATATAAGAACAATCCAATTAGCAAGTACAGAGCCACCGTGCTTCTCCCACTATTACAGCACTCTCCCAGAGCCAGCTATGTTACAAACAGCCAGCAGGTTACAAACAGCTGAGGTTTTTCTCCTCCTGCCTCACCACTTCAGCCTGTCTTGTTGCCTCTTGATAACATAACCATGCTTCTACCTCAACCATACCAGAACAAGAGACTGCAAGTTTTTGGTTTTCTGTTGATTTTGATTTGATTTTTTTTGGTGGATTGGCTGATTTTTTTGTTTGTGTTTTTGTTTTGTTTTGTTTTGTTTTTTTTCCTGTTTTGCAGGGGACAGAGTTTTACAGACAAGGAGGTGGGGGAAAGAAAAAAAAACTGGTAACCTGGTAATAATTAAAGGACAGAGCAGTCCTGGAACATAGCCATCTGTCTTTCAGGCACAGGAAGCCGCCTGCATCCCAGCAGAAGAAGGATACCAAGTTTCCCATCTTGTGTTTTGCTGTGTGTTACTTGCAACTAAAGCACGGCTAAATTAACATGCAATACTCTCCCTTCCACCCCCTCAGAAAATCCCATGACCAATTTAGAGTATATCTAGCTGTTTTCCAGAAACCTTCAGGTAACTAAATATAACTGTTTCCCAGTTTTTAAGTGACTAAGCTGCACATCGGCTCTGCATTCCCCATCCATGACCAAAAATCTTTGAAGAATAAACCTCCTTAGTACAGACTAAGGAGGAACTGAGTATTTCCTAACTATACCTGCCCAAAATTGGAATTTACAGCAGTAGAAGTGCATAGGACAACTCTGCTTTCAAACACATGGGATACCCTAAGAGAGGCATCAAGGCTGTAGGAGAATTGCAAGAGAACATTCTTTCTTAATTGGATATCCTGCAGGACAGCAAGATAAATCTAATCAGGAATCAACCTGAACTCCCTTCAGTTCAGTCTCCAGAGAACAATGAAAGAAATTTAGGACAATTTTCCAGCTTCCTCTTCCTCCTGCCTTATTTACAAAGCAGTGGCTCTGCCACAGAACACTGCCTACAAGAGAGTCATATTTCCATTCAGGTCACCTCCTATCCCTTTTCCTGCCCTTGATCTCAGATTTGCTGTTCCAACACCCTCTCTATCAGACCTGCACTGTGAATATCAGGCCTTATCCCTCTGCAGCACAAATCTTGTCCAGATCAGGTATGTGCACATCATGTCCATCTGTCGTGATACAGTCAATCTTACTTGTTGCCTACGGATTAACATAAATTCTACAAAGCATTTTATGCAGTAGAGAGCTGGCAAGCACACAGCCAGCTGTCAACATTGGAGGGACTCTGCATCAGTCTACAGCTTTTCCAACTGGATTGTAACCTTTAACACAGCAGCACTGCACGACCACAACCCTGTTCACAGGGGAAGTCATCCCACTGAAGTCTAGAAGGCCAGAGGCAGATTCCTCAGCTCTCTAGATGTCTTCATCTGGCGGAGAAGAAATCCGAAAGTAAAATATGTCCTGAAACACAAGCTAAGTTATTCAAGCCATCCCTTGCCTGTGGTGGACTGAGATGAGACTTTGGAACATGTGGTGAGGGAAGGGGACAAACAGGGGAAGCTCCCAGTCAAGACAGCCTCACCACATGGCCACAAGATTGCCAGCGTGATTCTAAAGGGACACACGTCCGCCCTTGTCAAAAGAACCATGGGCTTACCTCAGACATAAGCTGATCATGAGACTGGTCTTTCAAATTCACACCCACCAAGCTATGCAATGCCATGATTCGGGCTCATAAACAAACAACCCCTCTACACCTTCCCCAGGCTCCCAAAAGAAACAGAGAATTAACATCAAATTATGCTGGGTCACTGCTGCTCAAAGATAATGTGCATTTCTTTCAGTTGTGCTGATTGCTACATCCAGGTGGAACATCTGAACTGACTTCAATTCCAAAAACAATGTTATGTGTTGAAGCTGTATTCCTACAACTGAACAGTGATGCAGAAAGGGAATGGCAAAACAGGATATAGGGGCAGCGGAAAACACACCAACAGATGGCTTCTCTTCACCCATCCTGTTCAGCACTGGCAGGAAATATGCCCAACTTCCCTAACTTCTCCTCAGCTCCTGCTTTAGATTCCCAATGGGAAGAGCTCCCTCTTCAAAACTAAGTATTTATTTCACTGAGAATTCAGAAGCTTGTTCTTCAGAGCTCCATCTACTGAGCAAGATGCTCACATACTGGTTTTGACCATCTCTGCTCTGAGCATTGAAGAGCTCCCAGAGTTTAAATAAGCTCATGTCTGCAGCAGAGTGGAGACAAACACAAACAGCTGAGCAACCCGCTGTCCTCACATCTTCAAAGGTGTCCCAGAGCTCCTTGTTCTGCTTCCTCTAAATTCTCACTCAGGACAAGGAACAAGAAAGAAGCAGAAGTGTCTGAGGAAGAAGAGGAAGAAGACAGCTATCACCTACCAAAGCAATTTCTTTGAAGATTTACATCCAAAGGATCTGAGCCCCCGTGGGCCCAACATACAGGAACTGAGCCATGGCAACTATTATTTGCCTGAGTTCCTTGCTAGCCTGATTTTTCACTTGTCAAGTAACTATAATACGAGGATGTAACTGCTTATTTGAGCTATTCAGTTCTCTTCTGAAACCAGGGAGACTGCTCTTACTTCAAACTCTTTCAAACAGAGGCTATGTAGTACACAAGCAAAATAAACAACATGCACAATACACAATGTAACGCCACAATTACAGTGGTAATTCAAATTCTGTGACTGATATATTCAGTCAAATGCAAAAGGATAGAGGATTTACAAGATTCCTAGATGCTCATCTACTTCATACATATAGTTTCCATACCAACATCCCTCTCCTAAGACTAATAGAGTAATGTTACTAACTAATGTATTCTGTGGTCACTGCCCACTCCAGTCTTGGCAAAGATCCAGCAGACTGCAATATTTTCATACAACACTAAAAAAGCCCCTCAAAATCACAGTGATGGAGATAAGGCACACGAATGAGGGTCCAATCCATATTTGCTTGCTCCTTAGAACCAACTAGAAGACACAGCTCAACTGTGCCAGCCTCCCTCCCACATCTGTTCTCCTCCAGCCATTGCTTACTGAGATACGAGTGGCTGCTCCCTCTGGCTGAAAGCTCCAGGAGACAGATGCTGCACTGCTGATCACTTCTACGGATGTGAATGTGCATGGGAGCTTTGCGTCCGTCCCGTTCTCCACAAACATCTCCTCCGGGGTGTTGACCTCTACTGCTGATACCTGGACTGCATGGCAAAGAGAAGAAAGGAGAACAAGACACATCAGTGCTGCTTTAAGAATGAGGAAGTTCACATTACACTGCCTAGAAGGGCAGAAGAGAAGAGGCATCAGTAACTCCTGCATTGGGTGATTGCACAGACATTGCATTATACCTCCAGTCAAACAGTATAGAGCAGGCCAAGTACAGTCACTTCTCCTTCCTTGTATTATCTGTGACAGGATGTTTTCCACTCACAGATGTTTCCTCTACAGCACTTTGTGGAAGTCAATTCTATGGTGCAAAGATGAGTTTAATACTTTTTCGTACCAGCTGATGGCAAGCATTATAATAATTAAGCCTAATAACCTGGTCCAGCTATTACTCAGTTTCCTCTCTGGCACACATATTGTTTCATATCTCCAGATTTTCCTAGCTGTATGTAAAACAAAAGCTCACCTCCACAAAGATGAGGAGCAAACTTCTCTTGCTCCCAGCTCTGCCATCTACTCCTGCTCTCTGCCATGGCTCCAAGGTGTGTATGTGCAAGGTCTCACAAATAATCACTCAGTTATAGTAGTTTAATTTTTTTCTACCTTATGCACAGTGAAAAGAGCAAGCAGACCACAACCCCCCAAATTTAAAGTAATCAAGGTTAATGATGTGCTTTTACTGGTAGTTTTCCTAACAAATAAGTAACAGTCATCGTGATTCGGAAAATGTGTTTAAGAGATTCTTTATCTGGAACGTTCTAAACTGACAATGCACTATCCCTATTCAGATTTAGGCAGATACATCTCTACATTCATTCAGGTTTGTGTAGAAGAACAAAGCATGATCTTGTGACATCACAAGAGAATGTCTGTCAGCATTCATGTCACATCCACGTGAAAGGAAAAATCTTGTCAAGTCAGTGTGGGTGGGTGCACATGTAACTTGTGTTCCTGGTACCTTAAATACAAGTTTTGGTTTTTATTAAACTATGATTTTCAGCACAGAGATGGTAACAACAATCTACTTCTGTTCATAGGATTCTATGTTTCTGGGCTCCAGTACCTTAAATCCCCTTGTTAGAACAGGAGAACAAACCTTCCTGCTCCATTTATTTCTCAGCTTTGAATGAAGTAGCTCGAAATAGCCAGACCAAACAAAAAGATGCAAGTCAAAGACTGTTCAGATAAAAAGAAAGAAAAGAAAAACCCACCTGTTGTACATAGGACCTAATTAGCATAAAAGATTTGATAATCAGGATGCCTTGGCAAGAACAAACAGAGCTTTGAAGACTTGGAGAAAATTGAATCAAGACTGGCTGACAAGAAGATTGAATCAATTTCTGCCAGCAAGAGATGTTGCAAAATGTGTAAATTCATTTACATGATGATTAACCCAATCATTGTAGTAAAAAATTACTAGCCTTCCTAGATGGTTTATAAGCATATGTAGTGCACAATAAATTTGGATTCTGACCACCAGTCAGTCTCCCCACGTCCCTCATCATCGCCAATACCCACTTACATTAGTCTGTAAATCATGAGGTTTGAGTTTTCAGTCAGTGAGAGCAACCAGCTCAGCAGCCTTCAGAACCTGGACAGCAAACATCTGACAGAATGAGCATGCAAGCAGGGGTGGGAGAATTGAGCACATCATAGTAATTGCAATAACCAAAACCAGTAGAAAACACCAATAATTAATCCTGCTGTTCAGAGACCACACAGTTCACTTCCAAAATTCAGTACTCAGTCCCATTAGGTTATGTCTTGATACCGCAGATTCTCCTGTCATCACTGCTCTCAATTCCAAGAGAAAAAGTGCCCCAAGGGGGCTGGGGAGTAGGGGTGGTGAATTTTCATCATGAGGTTCTATCAGAGCTTCCTTCCTCTTGTACATATTCTGACTATAGGCCAAAAGCTATTCTTTTGCAAAACTACCAAATATTTATTTGGAACATACAAAGACTTCTAGCAATCAAATTAAATGAACTGAGAGCTGCTGTGCTTTATGTATTTTTCCAGCTAATGGTGAAGAAAAGAAAAATAAAATCAAATGAAATCCATTGTAGTAAGCCCAAACCACAGAACAAACCTCCCTTTCAAGCATAAAACAATCAAGATGCCCTCAGTATTTGTGTAGGAAGAAAAGAGTCTGCATAGACACTGTCTGCTTGTACATGGTACAGAGAACTCCTTGCCACACACAGGCAGTGGGTAGCACAGATCTGCCTAAAGAAGTCACTGTTCTAACTCACTATAACTGTAGTGAAGCAAAAAATCAAAAAAAAAAAAAGGACTCCTCCTTACTTCTTCCTTTTCTTCTGGGAAGGAAGGAACTATGTAATCCTGTACAGATATTTCTATCAAGTTTAATTTTCATCTGTCCTATTGTTGGCTCAATTTAATGTTCTTCTTTGCTGATTTTTTCTCCTCTGCCCCTTTCAATGCTCCAAAAATATTTTCCCTGCTTCTGTTGCCTTACAGGATAAGAGACAGGCTCCTTAAATCATAACCTGTTCAGTAGAGAGGCCACAAGATTTGTCAGTTGTTCACCCTCAGTTCTCTAATCCCGTACTTTAACTCATATAGTGGCTGTTCCCACTACCTTGAGTTCTTTGGCCTCTTCTGTCATAATAAAATCCACATGGATCATCTCCAGGTCTAGCTCTTTTGCCAGGATTACAGCCACCTTCCAGCTCCTACACCTATTTAAGTATTCCAGTTGGAGAAAGTTGAATTTTGAGTCATATTTCAGTCACACATATACACTGCTCTATTCCTCAAGCTACTCAGCCTAAGTTCCTCTCAAGAGGAAAAAACTATCACAGGAAACTGAGAGAGGAGTGCTTTAGGAAGGGATGGTCAGCAAGGTACATAGGGCAAAATTAAACATATGCTCTTCTCCCATGCATCCTCCTTGATCCCATCACCCTGTCCAACTGCCTGTAGCTGCAGTATTTCCTTCTGAACCTCTCATCTATCTTTCAGCTGCTTTTATTCTTTCCAGCACAAAAATGGTTCTAATTTTCTCACCTATCATCCAAATAAGTTGGGAAAAAAAACTCCACCTGTGCCTCTTCAGCTATTTCTTTTAAATCTCTAGTGTTGTTCGAGCAGTTTTACTCCAACTACAGTAACTTTTCTCCAGCTCCACTTTCAACCCCCACACTGCAATGAAAACTCTCCATCCACATCTTCCTTTCCAGACAATCCTCCTGCTCTTGAAATAGGATAAGACACTCATACTCTTACTATCTTACTAACCTTACTTACTAATATTTTCTTATTTTTCCAGCATGGATCTTCATTCTTCCATCAACGCTCTCTCTATTCTCAGGTCTCTTTGCTCGGTATCTCACCTCAGAGATCTCATCTGCAAAACAAGCTCAAGCTCCATCACTGCACTGACTACTCAGATCTGGGTCTCTGCTCAGGATCTGTCTCCTTATGTTCAAAGAACAGCCTCAGCATTGACAGAGATGTCAGACCAAGTTGTCAGCTCACACTAAATGGGACTAAAGCAGAGCTCAGAGCCCTCCACAATTGCTTTTACAACCATGGACCTGCCATGTGTCTGTCCAACTCAACACCTGTGCAGCACCTCTGATTTTGAACTCTTCCCAGGTCAAGGCAGAGTATTTCAAATTTTCCAGTCACCTGTTCAGCTGACACCAGACTAAAACCTCCAGTTTGTACCTTGACTTTCATTATTGTGATGTCCTTTTTGCTCTGGACAGATGGACAGTTATCAGTGATGATGAGAGATGGGGAAGACTGACTGGTGATGAAAATCTGAATTTACTGTGGACTACATATGCTTATATACTATTTTAGGAAGGCTACTATTTTTTACTACAATGATTGGGTTGATCATCACATAAACTTATACATTTTGCAACATCTCTTGCTTGCAGAAGCTGATTCAATCCTCTTTCCTGTCAGCCAGTCTCAATTCAGTTTTCAAAGCTCTGTTTGTTCTTGCCAAGGCATTCCCATTACCAGATCTCTTTTGCTAATCAGGTCCAAAATACTCTGTCTTGTGTGCCCCAGCAGACAGTAACAGACCAGTAAGTAGTGCAGTTCCTGGTAACCAAGCTGCTCCAAGGGTGACACTAAGAACAGGGGGACATCACATATGCAAGATCACTGCTTCCTTCCATGAAATGGAAATGACACCAAGCACCCATCCCTGTTTCAATATGAAGAAGCTCTTGTCCCCAGCCACACTGTAGTACTGGTCTCATCCAAAACTTTTCAAATCCAAATTGTAGCACCTCCTCCTAAATGCTGTCCCTCAGGCTTGGGAGGATCTGCTCAAAACCTGCAAAATCCTTTCACTTCCTTTGAGCCCTCCAAAGCATGTGGTAACTGCATCTGTATGAATCCAACAGTGACTAAGCTGCCAGTGTTTGGAGATCAACACCTTTTAAAACGGAAGTCATCTTTTCCTGCTTTTACTTGTACCCCCTGGTTGTTTATACTGGCCTCATAGTGATCTTTTAAAAAAACATTTTGGGCAAATATTGGTTTTATTCTACATTTTTTACGTAGAAATATGGCTGACCATCTGGTGTGGCAGCATACCACAAAGAAATTCTTCTGTGCACCGAAGTTTTACACTAATTAACACATAGATAATTACAATTTCTTTGCAGACCACTGTTTCTGAGATCTTGGATCCAATGAAAACGTTCTGTTAAGACTGTGAACACACCAAAATAAACTCAATTCCCCTGGATTCAACTCAGTGTAACAAACCAAGAATGCAAACAGCTAACACTGTAATCACAGGCATCTTATTTCTATCAGTACAAACACAAACTTTCACCACACTGCTAAATACTGGATGCTTTTAGCTGCTACCATTCCCATCCTACACCAGGAAGAGTGTTACTCCCCTCTTCTTGAAATGGCTGATCATCAGTTTATTAATTAATACAAGCAACTTGCTTTGCTTATCTTACAGACACCTGGTAGTACAGGCATGTACACAAGTTATAAATGAAGTCATTTACGCAGCAAGGTCTTGACAAAATGA